TGTGTGTGTCGCAGAGCAGCATGGCCGTTGCTATTTACGATGGAGGATAACGTCTGGAGAAGAGAAAAAGAGAGAGAGAGAGCAGGGGGAGGGCGGGAAACCGGGGGTAAGAGAAAAACGCGCCCAGTGCTACCCCTAGCGTCGCGTCGTGCTCTCCGGGAAACAGAGAAAAAATGGACGTGGCGGAAGGGATTGGGGTTAAAGGTCGAAAAGCGCATCTGGCTCGCGTCGGCGTGGGTGGGTTGGGGTGGTGAAATGGACAGAGAGGAGAATGGGCATTCCCTCTCACGCGCCCCCTCCCCTCTCTTGTCCCTCGCCCACTCTTTCTCGCTCCCCCACGCCTATATTGGTGGTGACTCTAGATAGTGGGTGCCCCCACCCCCACCTCACTCGTCTCTTTGGACACGCCGACCCCCCACCGCGGGCGGGCTGCATTGTTGTGGGCCGAGGCGGTGGCAGGGGGACGCGTGTGTGCCCGGGCGTTCGGCATTCTAGGGGTATTGAAGGCATGCGGGCCGCATGCGGCAGTGAGGTGCGTACCAGCATCAGGAAGGGGCCGGCGGCCGAGCGCTGGCTCGGAATTTGGTTCATAACGACGTAAAGGGCTCTATGAAGCTGCTGGGAATATTTGAGCAAGAGGGGGTCCAAGTGGGAAGAGAGAGAGCGGGGGTGGTTTTAGGGGGCGGGGGGTTGAGGGTGACTATAGCAGTTAAAAGTTGGGTCACCACAGCAATTGGGCCGGCCCATCCCATCTCCGGCCCCACGCGCCTGGAGGGCTCGGGCCGGACTGGGCGCCCTGGGCACGCCCGCCGGTGAGGGGGCCGCGCTGCGCCGCCGGCCGGCCGCTCTCCCCCTGCGGTAGTGAGTGGTCAGGCCGGAGTGGACCATTTGAACGGCCCATAAACCCCATCAAGCACAAGAAGCAAGCCTTCCAGCGTGCACTGCAGCAGCTGTGTCGAGCCGAGTCCCAAACAGCAGTCCGACTCACGCGACGAGCCGTTCTCCACGGCCAAGGTTGCCGGCGAGGGAAGACCTCCTCTCCGGACCTCTCGCATACACTCACACACGTACGCTTCCCAACACACATGGCCACATAACTCACAGAGATAGCGCCGGACCCAACGCGCCGTACCTCGCATGCAGCAGTGGCTTAGAGCCCCTGCCCTGCCTGTGCTGTCTGCTGCACTGCCCGCCCCCTCTGCCCGGACCCCCTTCTCTTGTTTTCTATCCACAACCTGCAGTCCGGGCGGTGAGGTGAGGACGGCCCTTAATTAACGACGTTCCCCGTGGCCGACCGACACCTGCGGCTCGAGGACACAAAGACCCCTACCAATATCGGGATCAGGATTTAATTGGACACGCCCTTCAAGCGCACCCTGCAAAGTCAACATTCGGACAGCGTCCCACGGTTTAAAAGAGTAAACAGAATGCCCCGCTCCTCAGGCGCG